AAGAAGTGCATTAGTAGCAACGGTTGTCCCCATCCTAATTGAGCTTATCAGAGCTGGGTCAATTTTATCTCCCTTCAAATAGGAAGTTCCACATTCCTTAAAATATAAAATGTCAAATATGATTACTTTATTCAATATTCTGCGGATTGCCTCGAGAGGAGCATCGGAATAGGCTTCCGTGTTTTCGGAAAGCAATTTAAAAACACAAATATCGTTATTTGGACATTTAGCCAAGACATCGGTGAAAGTACCCCCTCGATCAATAGCAAAATGGAAGCCAGACATTAAAATAAGGAAGAGACACGCGATGAAGCAAATGATAGTCCACGAGTTGGCCAAGCGCTAAAAGAATAAAGCGCCTGAATTCAAGAAGTAACAATCAATTATTTGCAAAGTTTTATCAAATATTAAATTTATGTTTAATTATTAAGCATAAATTTATAATTTTTGATATATATATAACTTAAAACTATTTGAAGGTCACCAGCTGTATTCTTTCCGCGAACTCTGAATTTATTATAATGGGCGATATCCCCAAGAAGCGTCAGAGGAAAGCTGTAAACTACGCAAAACTAGATGGGAACAGTGATGAAGACTTTTTTGATGATATTAGTCCTCCAAAAAAGATGTCTATGAAAGCGAAAGTCTCCCTAGACGAAGAAACCTGGAAACCAGACGATGGTATATATGAAATAAAAAGCAAAGTTCCGAAAAATAAACCAAAAGAGAAGAGCAAAAATAAAGACATAACCGCAATAAATATTTCAAAATCAGTTGTGCATAGGGAAGTCATATCCACTTCCCGTCCCAAGTCTTCATCTGTCTCCGAGTCCACTAGCGTCTCTTGCAAAAGCTTGGCACCTGCCTCAATAGACCCATTGACTTCTCCTAAATCAGATAAACTCGTTAATGTTGTTTCATTTGATTCCTCAACTGTGTCGCCTCCACTTAGTCGTGCAAGCTTACCGACCCCGTCTGCTCGCGCAAACGCGTTGACGCCACCTACTCATTCTCCCCTGTATCCAGTTACTCCCAACAGTGGTCTACGGTTAGGCTTATCTAGAAGAGGTTTGCTCAAATCTCTTCATTCCAATATACGCATCACAAGATAGAGCCCATCTATCTAATTTGCTGACCCATACACATCAGTTGTGTATCCTATTCTTTATTATTTTTTCAGAATGCATAGTGAAATAACCTAGTTATTTCATATTACATTTATATT